TAATGTTGCCTCTTGGCAATTGGTTGCATAAGTGGTTTAGGGACACAGATTGCCTGGAATTCCTCTCTCACAATCCATGGAAGCCACCGTCACACAGAGACTTAGAGCCTAATACACGCACACAGACACGCACACACACACACACACGCACACACACACAGACATGGAGGCTTAACACACACAGACCAGCCCCAGCACTATTAATACTATAGTCTTCATGTAGTGCTATGTTTATCAGTCTATTCATCTACACACTGTATTCACTAGACTTACTAGTCTGTAGGATCTTTACTGGTCTTAGTCTCACTGTTCAAGTGAAGAAAGTGGGGTTTAGAACTAGTGGAGGTCTGTCCTCCCAGAGGAACCTCAGGACACATTGTTCTTGTTGTGTGGGGACAATTAGTGCGGTTGTGCTCATGGGGAAGGTGATAGGCCTGGCACAACAGCTGCCTGTAATCCCAGCTACGCTCTCATATCCTGAGACACGCTTGTGTGTGTGTGTGTGTGTGTGTGTGTGTGCATTCTTCACAGTACGTGTGTGTGTGTGTGTGGATCTCCAGATCACATGATGGAAACTAAGGGTGGGAGGTTAAGGAGGGGTTTAGGGGGGATCCCAGTTTGGATCTCTGGTGTTCCCCCTGACTGAGTCACAAACACACACACACACACCTCCCCTCACACACACTCCAACATGCTCTTAAACTTTCACTCACTCTACCTCTCTCACACACACACATGTGTAGCTATCCAGAGGACAGTGTGTGGTTAGGTATGACTGAGGCCAAAGCAGTGTGTGTGTCTCTGGGTGTTTTAACTAGAGGGCTGAGGAGCAGACTCAAGGCTCTAGGATGTCTACTGATCCAAAACTTTACCGGAGACCTTACCAGGAGCTGCACCGGAAATTCTACCAGGAAGGAGCGGGACCGGGGCCTGTTTACTAGGGCAGGATGGGGCTGTTCCGACCCCCAGGGGGCTGTGAGTACGGGACTGTATGTGTATAGCAACGCTAAGCTGGAGTGTGTGTGTCGGGTTACCCCTGTCTGTCCTAGAGCTGACGTGGACTAAAACTTGCCTCGGGTGTTTGTCTGTGTTTCTTTCAGAATTGTCTGTGGATAATTCAATGGAAGATAGAGAACATTCCAGTTAACATTGTTCTCTTTCAGAATTGGCTGTGGATAATTCAATGGAAGATAGAGAACATTCCAGTTAACATTGTTCTCTTTCAGAATTGGCTGTGGATAATTCCATGGAAGATGGAGAACATTCCAGCCAACATTATTCTCTTGTGTGATGCTGTTCTTTTCTCTGTAGTTCTTTTCTCTCAGATTCTTTCTACAGGCTTCTGTTGCTCATCACAGTGACGCTTGATTAGATCTGAACACTTAATTAGTTTAATTGATGTCATTAAATGAATTGGCCCACACAGCTACAGTGGGATTGAGTTATAGTGATCTGGGATGGATGGAATACACTCTCTCTTTAGTTTAATGACACACACGTGCGCACGCATGGACACAAGCACACACACACTATTTGTGGTGGCATGGAACACTAATGGTGTGGTTGTATAAGAGAAGAGGGTGTGTGTATGTGTGTCTGTGTGTGTGTGTGTGTGTGTGTTTGTGTGAGTGCAGGTGTTGTACAGTTTTAATCCTGTGATTAAGAGGTGCCACATGAGCATCCTGTCGCCCCTCTCTGATCCTCCATCTGCGGTGTGATCACACACACACTCAATGAAATACCTCATGGTTCAAACAGACTGAAATATCTCAACACCTATGTGTGTCCAGACCTCAGTATTTCCACAACTGAAACTTCCTACCAGCTCTCATAGTCTCACGTCAGAATTAGACGTTCATCCATGTTTCTTTAAGGTTAAGTTCAGGCATTTACTCCAAATTCGTAAGGTTAGGCATTAACTCCGAATGGTTAAGGTAATGGTTATGGTTTGGGATAGGCTTAAAACAAAAATGTATATCGCTGGATTTGAACTTGCAACCTTTAGAATCAGAGGCAGATGCTTACGCCTATATGCCATCCCCGTCTACAACACCTACTTGAAGGTAACAGCGCTCACTGTTGCCCCTAGGGGCCGGTTTCCACGTCGTCTCCAGACGTCCTTAGACATGGATGGACGTCAAATACTGACTTGTATGACGGGTGGCCTGGCTGGAAACGTTCCCTGCTACAGAACCAGCTCAGTGACCATATGAGTTGATACTCATCACGTAAACATAGCTACACTAGCAAGACATACAGTGGGGAAAATAAGTATTTAGTCAGCCACCAATTGTGCAAGTTCTCCCACTTAAAAAGATGAGAGAGGCCTGTAATTTTCATCATAGGTACACGTCAACTATGACAGACAAAATGAGAAAAAAAAATCCAGAAAATCACATTGTAGGATTTTTTATGAATTTATTTGCAAATTATGGTGGAAAATAAGTATTTGGTCAATAACAAAAGTTTCTCAATACTTTGTTATATACCCTTTGTTGGCAATGACACAGGTCAAACGTTTTCTGTAAGTCTTCACAAGGTTTTCACACACTGTTGCTGGTATTTTGGCCCATTCCTCCATGCAGATCTCCTCTAGAGCAGTGATGTTTTGGGGCTGTCGCTGGGCAACACGGACTTTCAACTCCCTCCAAAGATTTTCTATGGGGTTGAGATCTGGAGACTGGCTAGGCCACTCCAGGACCTTGAAATGCTTCTTACGAAGCCACTCCTTCGTTGCCCGGGCGGTGTGTTTGGGATCATTGTCATGCTGAAAGACCCAGCCACGTTTCATCTTCAATGCCCTTGCTGATGGAAGGAGGTTTTCACTCAAAATCTCACGATACATGGTCCCATTCATTCTTTCCTTTACACGGATCAGTCGTCCTGGTCCATTTGCAGAAAAAACAGCCCCAAAGCATGATGTTTCCACCCCAATGCTTCACAGTAGGTATGGTGTTCTTTGGATGCAACTCAGCATTCTTTGTCCTCCAAACACGACGAGTTGAGTTTTTACCAAAAAGTTCTATTTTGGTTTCATATGACATTCTACCAATCCTCTTCTGGATCATCCAAATGCACTCGAGCAAACTTCAGACAGGCCTGGACATGTACTGGCTTAAGCAGGGGGACACGTCTGGCACTGCAGGATTTTAGTCCCTGGCGGCGTAGTGTGTTACTAATGGTAGGCTTTGTTACTTTGGTCCCAGCTCTCTGCAGGTCATTCACTAGGTCCCCCTGTGTGGTTCGGGATTTTTGCTCACCGTTCTTGTGATCATTTTGACCCCACGGGGTGAGATCTTGCGTGGAGCCCCAGATCGTGGGAGATTATCAGTGGTCTTGTATGTCTTCCATTTCCTAATATTTGCTCCCACAGTTGATTTCTTCAAACCAAGCTGCTTACCTATTGCAGATTCAGTCTTCCCAGCCTGGTGCAGGTCTACAATTTTGTTTCTGGTGTCCTTTGACAGCTCTTTGGTCTTGGCCATAGTGGAGTTTGGAGTGTGACTGTTTGAGGTTGTGGACAGGTGTCTTTTATACTGATAACAAGTTCAAACAGGTGCCATTAATACAGGTAACGAGTGGAGGACAGAGGAGCCTCTTAAAGAAGAAGTTACAGGTCTGTGAGAGCCAGAAATCTTGCTTGTTTGTCGGTGACCAAATACTTATTTTCCACCATAATTTGCAAATAAATTCATTAAAAATCCTACAATGTGATATTCTGGATTTTTTTTCCTCAATTTGTCTGTCATAGTTGATGTGTACCTATGATGAAAATTACAGGCCTCTCTCATCTTTTTAAGTGGGAGAACTTGCACAATTGGTGGCTGACTAAATACTTTTTTTCCCCACTGTATATATATATATATATATATATATCTATGTATATGACAAGGTCTATACAGATGTCCATTTGGGTGCTATAATATACATAATGTGTGTTGAAGATGTTTATGTATGTTCATATGAGTGTTATGTATGTTCATATGAGTGTTATGTATGTTCATATGAGTGTTATGTATGTTCATATGAGTGTTATGTATGTTCATATGAGTGTTATGTATGTTCATATGAGTGTTATGTATGTTCATATGAGTGTTATGTATGTTCATATGAGTGTTATGTATGTTCATATGAGTGTTATGTATGTTCATATGAGTGTTATGTATGTTCATATGAGTGTTATGTATGTTCATATGAGTGTTATGTATGTTCATATGAGTGTTATGTATGTTCATATGAGTGTTATGTATGTTCATATGAGTGTTATGTATGTTCATATGAGTGTTATGTATGTTCATATGAGTGTTATGTTCCCTCTAAGCTACGCGCGTGTATCCCCGAGACTGCCCCGGGATTGAGCTTCACTCATCTTTCTGGAGCAGTGGTCACCAACCGGTGAACAAAGCTACAGCAAAGTTGATACTGTGAGATTTCAGAACGTTTAAAACCATGACTAGAGAGAGACTGTAAACGAATACAGCAAAGAGATGCTGTTTTTATGAGTGAGTTCATGTTTAAGTTCTTACTCAGCACTGTCAACACTTTGTATTCAACACTTTTATAAGCCATAAAATGTGCGTATAACTTACTGCACAAACCTCAATTCTACAGTGCTGTTTTTAATTGGTTAATGTTGCATAGGCTTACGTTTTGTAAGTCATGTTAAAACAAAATCTAAGCGGTAGATCTCAGCTTGCATTTTTGACTCAAGGTGATCTTGATTCAGAAAAGGTTGGTGACCACTGTTCTAGAGTTTTCCCTGTTGACACTATCAACCTTTCCCTTTAATGTGGCAATTATGATCGAATGAACGCAATATTATCCACTTTCAATGCAACATACCGAAACAAAACTAACTATGCAAGAGATTTTGTTGTAGGCAGAACGCATCGGAGTAGGATTCTATTGCATTGACAGGCACGACTCAGCCCGTAGTCTACACAGACCGGTGCGGCATAAACAATCAGAGCTGCAGTAGGCCTATATGCAAATAGACCATT